CTTATAAAGGAAAACATTTAATTGAGGTAGTAGCTACAGTTTTAGAGGTTTAATCCATTGTCATCATGGTGGGGAGAGTATGGCAGGGAGTATGGTAGCGTTCAGGCAGACATGGTTCTAGAGAAGTAGCTGAGAATCCTACATCTTGCAGGCAACAGGAACTGGTCTTTGTGGCACACTGAGTGAAGCTTGAGCATATATGAGACCTCAAAGCCTGCCCCCAACAGTGACACACTTCCCCCAACAAGGCCACACCTACTCCAACAAAGCCACACCTCCCGGTCGTGCCACTCCTTTTGGGAGTCATTTTCTTTCAAACCACCATAGTAGGGAAAATGGACAAAATACCAAAAAAGATGGGTTATATGAACAAGATTAAGATTTATTGTTCATTCTAAAAGAGTAAACCTGAGATTAAAAATTCATATGGGGGGAATAGGAGTGTCTTACACTAGGCTGGCTTCAAACCCTAGTCTTCTACCCCTTGAATGTTAGGATTACAGATGTACATTACTGCAACTGGTTTTATTAAATGAATTTTAAAAGATACAGTAAATACATTGAACAGTTATCTTGGTTAGGGTTTCTGTGGCTGCAACAAAACACCATGTCCAAAAAACAAGTTGGGGAAGAAAATGTTTATTTAGCTTACACATCCCCATTGCTGTTCATTATTGAAGGAAGCCAGAACAGGAATTCACACAGGGTGAGAACCTGGAGGCAGGAGCTGATGCAGAGGCCATCGAGGGGTGCTGCTTATGGGCTTGCTCAGCCTGCTTTCTTATAGAACTCAGGACCACCAACCCAAGGATGGCACCACCCACCATGGGCTAGACCCTCCTCTATTGATCATTGAGAAAATGCCTTACAATTAGTTAGATCTCATGGAGGCATTTCCTCAACTGAGGCTCCTGCCTCTCTAATGACTCTATCTTGATGTCAAGTTGACACACAAAATCAGCTAGTACAACAGTAAACTCAAAGCTCAGTTCAAGATGAATAAACCTAAGCTCAGATCTGTAGAAAGCACCTAGATTAGCTGAATGTGGTAGTGCAACTTGGTAGGTGAAATGGGAATGCAAATTTGAGCTAGCCTTGACCATATCCCAAGATCTTGTCCAAAATTAGAAAAAAGTAGGAGGAAATAGAAACAGAAAAAAATCTCTTCCCTCCCACCCCCCCAAGCACACACAGAGAAAAAGGAAATTTGTGGAGAATAGTTGAAAGGTCTAAGGTGCATTTTATTCACCTAATTAGAATATATCCTAATAAACCTATCTGAATAGGAAATTGACAGTATATCTAACACATTGAAGGCCAGTAGAGCATAGCATGCTGTTGGCTCTTGATATTCTGTGTCTGTGGATAGCCATTATCACTGCTGTTCAGCATCTCAAGAGGACAATGTCATATATCACTAGCCCTCAAAAAGATTGAGATTTCAAAGATGGTTTCTACTAAGTGTGTTGTAGGAAAAAAAAACCCAACATGCAACTAACTGAGTGTCTTAGTTAGAGTTTCTATTGCTGTGAAGAGACTCCATGACCATGGCAACTCTTATAAAGTAAAACATTTAATTGGGGGTGGCTCACTTACAGTTTCAGAGGTTCAATCCATTATCATTATGACAGGGAACTTGGCAGCATGCAGGCAGATGTGGTGCTGGAGTAATAGCTGAGAGTCCTAAATCTTCCCGGCAACAGGAAGTCGACTGAAACACTAGGCAGTATCCTGAGCATAGGAAACCTCAAAGTCCATCCCCACAATAACATACTTGCTCCAACGAAGCCAGACCCACTTCAACAAAGCCACACCTCCTAATGGTGCCTATAAGATTATGGAGGCTGATTACATTAAAACTATCGCCGGGCGGTGGTGGCGCACGCCTTTAATCCCAGCACTCGGGAGGCAGAGCCAGGCGGATCTCTGTGAGTTCGAGGCCAGCCTGGGCTACCAAGTGAGCTCCAGGAAAGGCGCAAAGCTACGCAGAGAAACCCTGTCTCGAAAAACCAAAAAAAAAAAGAAATAAAACTATCACACTGTGTCTATGTAGGCCTTGTGGGCCTGTCTACTCTCTGTTTTGGGAGAGGAAAGAGAGATGGCAGTACAAAAGCATCATTCAAGGAAATGGTCCTCAAGGTGCCTCTATACTAGAGAAGATGTGTAGTCAGAAGTTTTCCAGTGTCCTGCCTGTTCCCGCAGCTTTTCAGACCCAAATAAACATATAGAGGCTTATATTAATTACAAAATGTATGGCCATGGCCTATGGCTCAAGCTTCTTGCTAGCTAACTCTTATATCTTAAATTAACCCATTTCTATTAATCTGTGTTTTGCCACATGTTCCGTGGCTTTACCGGTCTGCTGGCATCTTGCTCTTTGGGTTGCTGGCTGGCATCTCTTTCCAGACCCTGCCTTTCTCTTCCTGTCTATCTGCTTGCATTTCCTGCCTGCCTCTAAGCTGACTTGCCATAGGCCAGTACAGCTTTATTTATTAACCGATCTGAACAACACATATTCACAGCATACAGAAAGACATCCCACAGCAAAGATGTCTTACTCCAGATTCTAAAAGTCATAGAAATGTGTAGTACATTGAAAGAACGTTTTTTTTTTTTTTTTGTAGATAAATAATGGTGAGGTTGCTGATAAATGATAAATGTAGAGAAAAAGAAATCTTAGTGGAGCTGGGATGTAGCTTAGTTGGTAAAATGCTTACCTAGCACACATCAAGCCCTGGGTTCATTCCTGTCACGGCCTAAAGTGTGTGTGGTATTACAAGTCTGTAATCCTGTATTTCGGCAGTAGAGACATGAGGATCAGGAATGCAAGACCACTCCTCAGCTTAATAGCTAGCTTGAGATCAGCCTAATCTACCTGAAACCCTGTGTTTTAAGATATAAAAAGATGCAGATCTTTGTGAGTTCAAGGCCAGCTTGGTCTACAAAGTGAGTTCCAGGACAGCCAGGGAGGGCAATTATACAGAGAAACCCTATCTCTGAAGAAGAAGAAGAAAAAAAAAAAGACTCTCTTTTAAAAGCTGATAGAGAACAAAGGTACATTGTCGGTAGTACAAATAATAGTGGAATTCTTACAGATGTGATGGGGTCAGAGGACAATAACTGAAACTTAGAAATTTTGAAGAAAAATAAGATCATCCCCATATAGTTATTAATATATACTTAGTATAAGTATATTACAGAAAAAAAGATGAGACACCCATTGCTAATCATGATACAGTAACTAGTAGCAGCTTTGACCTTGAGTCCTAGACGAGATGCTTTCTGTTGCACAGCTGGCAGTGTAGGGTGGTTATCCCAGAGAAAGAAAATAATCAGAGTCCCACAGTCTCTGCAGTTCATCCCTGAAGAATGGCAGTACTGTTGGTCTAAGATGACTGTGGCCAGAGCTTGGGACAAAGTGACTGCTGGGTTCAAGGAAGTAGTGTAGTGTTGAGGAAGCCATCTTGAGAAATAGAGTGAGAAATAAGCATTGGGATCCTTGGGAAGTTGAGGCTACTTTTTCCACATGTGAAGTGAAATCTATGAGATCAGGCAAACAAAATAATAGACACCTGCCAATGTGTAGAAGGTGAGTGGTTACCAGGATTCATGAAATGTTCAGATTCCAGTTCTCCCCAAACTTTCAGTAAAGACACCAAAAGAGTACCAAGTTAGGGCCGAGTGGTTACCAGGATTCATGAAATGTTCAGATTCTAGTTCTCCCCAAACGTTCAGTAAAGACACCAAAAGAGTACCAAGTTAGTACCAAGTTAAGCATTGGCCTAAGGTATTTCTATATGAGAGATAATATGAACCTCCACATTCATATAATTGGGAGAAAGAAGGGGTGATAATTTCCTGTTTAAGAAGGAATAAAGCTTAAAGATGTAATCCAAAAGAATCTCATTCCATAGCAGACTATGACAGGATCCTTAATAAGGGAAGTGTGGTATAGATGTGGCTGTATATATTTATCATAACAGCATTTCTTTTTTTCTCTTTGTTGTGCTAGAGATGGATAGGCCTCAGGCACCATTAGACAAGTGGTCTATCATTGAGCCACACCCCATCCCCTCAGAATTGTGCATAACCTAATACTGATAATGGCCACTTCTGATGCAAAGTAGGACAGCAATTAATGGTGTCATCTAGGTGAACAAACTGTTTGCATTATTCGTGAATATCTAAGTATTTTGAATACTTTAATAAAAATAGTATTCATTTTAAATCTGGTTTTAAAATTAGCTCAGAATTCATTTGTAAATCTCAATACTTTCTAAGAAAACAAAATCCAACCTTTTAATTACATTTTGGAGAGCATTTTTGTTTTGAATTTACTGGAAATTCATAGAGCAGTAAGTACTGGCTTATATCTAGAGACTTGCTAGAATTTATAAAGAATTTTTTTAGAAGAGACTTTTTCAAATTTATTCCCCTTGTAACATTCTGTCTCAGTTTACTTCCCATTTTTGAATATTGCTTCTCTACTGTTAATTTTTAAAATATTTTTCTTGGCTCCATAATTGGGTTTTGTGAATATAGCTTACTGTTCTAATTACCATGACCGGTGGAATTGGAGTCACTATTTAAAATAATTGATGTTAACATATGTTTAATTCCAAGGCTATTAGATATATGAATATTGTGATAGGGAGAACCTTAAAGAAATCCCTAACTGAGGAATAGAGTAAGTTATTTAAACTTTAATATCTGGGGATATTCACAGTTGATAGAGTGCTTGCCTAGAATGCACAAAGACCTCAGTTTGACCCCAGCATCCCATAACCTAGGCATGGTGGTGCCCACCCACAACCCCAATACTTGGGAGGTTAAGACAGTAAGGTTAGAAATTCAGGGTCATCCTTGTCTACATAGCAAGTACATAGCCATCCTGGGATATGTGAGATGCTATCTTAAATAAATAAATAAACGAATAAATAGATTTAGATGGCATTTCATTTTAACCCACTAACATTCTGGTTTACATGTTTATATTTCAGGGAAAGGTGGCCCAGACAGCCTGTATGTCAGCTTGTAAGCATTTAGCCACATCCTTGATGCAACTGTTGTTGGAAGCGGAAGTAAGGCAGCTCACTTTGGGAGCATTGCAGCAGTTCAACCTGGATGTCAGAGAATGTGAACGTAAGTCAGTGAACCCTTTTTGCTTGCTTGTTTTATAAACTTATGTTGTCTCTGATATAAAAGAAAAAGCAAAAAGTTTTAGGTCTGTCAAGTCAGTGTTCTTCATGGTGTCAAAAAGTATCTAGATGGTAAAGGTATCTTACAAGATGTTTTGTTTATTTTTATTTTTTATGTTGGCTTTTTAAAATATGTTTTAAATTGAAATATAATTACATCTCTTTCCTCCCTCTTTTTCTCACTTCAGCCCCTCCTGGTTACCCTCCTTTGAACTCACCATGATTCCTACAACTCACAAGTTGATAGCCCCTTTTTTTAATTATTATTGTTACATACATGTGTGTGTGTGTGTATAAAATCTGCTGAGTATGTTTTTTGGTGTTATGTATATATATGGTTTCAAGGCTACCCACTCTGTAGTGGCCAGCCAATAAGGGAGCTCATCCTGAGGAAAAACTAATTCTTCTCTCAATTAGTTGCCTGTATGTAGTTCATTGTAGATTTTCCCCATTCCTTATTAACATGTACATTTGATATTTGCCATTGTTTTGCTCTTGTCTACACAGCTCCTGTCTAGGAGAGATTTTCACAGCAGACTCCCTGGTAGTCTGTCTCTCACAACCTTTCTGCCCCTTCTGCCATGTTACCCGAACCACAGATGCATGACCTATATTGTAGGTGTATCCCTTTAGGCTGGGCTTCCCGTGATATGTTGATCTCTGCATTATGTCCAATTGTGGTTTTCTTCAATGGTCTCCATTTGCTTTAAAGAGAAACTTCTTTGATGAGAAGTGGTAGATACATTTATCTGTGGGTATAAAAACAGGGTTTAAAATGTAGTATGGAACTATGCTGGTCTAGCAAAAAAGCCATAGGAGAGTTTTTTCTAAGGTCATTGATGTCACCAGCCCTACAAAGCTGGCTAGGTTTCCAGTATCAGGCATGATTTCCCTTCTGTTGAATGGAGCTTAAGTCCAATTAGCTGTTGGTTACCACCAGCATGCACCTTTTTATCCATATCATGTCATGCTGGCTCATAGGTGTTGCAGCTTTGTAGGACTGTTTAATTGCTTCTCTCCCTTGGCCACTAACATTAACTGCTCAGTTTGTTTCATTTGGTATTTTAAATGGCATTCATAGGGATTTCCATTTCTAGTCATCATAAAGTATCACCATAAACATCTGTAAAATTAGCTAACTGTGTGAAACAGCTATGTCCATGCACTGGACAGCAGACCATATAAGCCATGGTTTTTCAGAGAGCAGCAGCACAGAAACTGCTCAGTTCCCCTTGGCTTCAAGCTGCAGACACTGTTTAACAGCAAAACAACAGCACTCTATCACTAGGAAAAAGAACAACAAAACCCCCACCAGATAAGGAGTGTGGGGCTGATGATACAGCTGGGATATCAGAGGAGGAGCTCTGGAAATCTGCAGTGGGGCAGCACTGGGGCCTTTGGCCACCAGTAAGTTGCCATATGCAGGAAACCTATGATGCTTGACAGACAACAGAACAGCCAGTGAAGTCTGTGAAGTGGCTAGGAGCCCAGGGGCCTTCATGTCCTCCAAAATCTTGAGGTGTCAGCTACCCAGTGAAACATCTTGTGTATCAGCAGACCACAGGTTTCTGCAGTTCAGGCTCTACAGAAACTTATTTCTTAGTTGTATATAATTGTAGTCACAGCGTGTTTTGAAGTGTGTGTATGTGTATATGTGTTGTAGAATGGCTAAATTGAACTAATAAATTGTACAACACTCCACACCTTTTTTACATTTCACATCTCCTCTGAACAGTGTTTCAAGAATATAACACATTGCTGTAGTCACCATGTTGTACCATAAATCTCTTCAACTTGCTGCCATCAAATTAGAATTTTTAATCATTTGATCTATACTTCTCCAGGGCCTTCACTCTCCTGGCCACCATCCCCTGTCTTCTCTATTCTTCACTTTGGAATTTGGCTTTTCCAGATCCACACTCAATTAAAATTATACACTATTTGTCTTTCTGTGCTTTGTTTATTTCACTTAATATGGTGGCCTCTAGGTTTTCCATCTTGTCATAAAAGGCAATGTTTTTTTCTGTGTTAAGACCATATAGTGTTCATTGTGTAAGGAAGCCACAGTTTCTTATCTACTCACCCACTGATGAAAGAGCTCATGTCCTAGCTGTTGTGTACTGTGATAAACATGGAAAGTCTTTGGAAAAGATTTCATTTTCTTTGGAGTAGATCATAAGGTAGCTGTTTTCAGTGTGCACTATTTTTCATAACTACTGTATTGAAATTCACATTCTGCTAGCAGTGTAGTTTTATTTCCTTTATGCTCTTTCTTATGCTTATCTATTATCTTTTAAAAAATACATGCATACCATGTACATGCGTGGTGCCCACTGAGGCCAAAAGAGGGCATTGGATCACCTGGAACTGGAGTTACAGATGGTTTGAGTCACTGTGTAGGAATTGAACCTTGGTCCTCAGGAAGAACAGCCAGTCTAACTGCTGAGCTAGCCCTCCAGACTATGTTTTCTTTCTGATAATAGCTAGTTCCACAGATGTGCAGTGATATTTCATTGTGCACAGATGTGCAGTGATATTTCATTGTGACTTTCGTTTGTGTATCTCTAACCATTTTTGTATACTCATTATTCGTTGATTACTCATATCATCTTTTGATAAATGTCTATTCAGATCCTTTGTCCATTTAAAAACCAGCAACAGCAACAAAAAACCAAAAAACAAACTCACTGTTTGCTTGTTATAGATTATCTGAGTTTCTTACATATTTCTTTAAACTAACCCAGGGATCATCTTGCCTCACCCTAATTAAGCCTAGGAGCACGACTTGATGAAATAAAGCTACTCTGCAAGTAAAATAAACATTCTCTGGGAAACTCAGTCATTTTTGAAGGCAGAAGACACATAACACACTTCCAATCTTGTAGCATCCACAATTTTATAAGCAAAGACCCCCCCCCAAACCAAAAAACTTAAATCACGTTTAAGGAACTGCAAAATATTACATATAATAGAATCTGAAGTCAGAAGTGTAAATGAGTCTACTAAATGTGGGAATGTGTGTTAAAAGAGCTTTAGAAAACACAATGTAATATATTCAGTAATTTTTAAAGTAAGATGATATACTCCCATCTATAAGGAGGTTAGATGCAGGAACGTTGTGAGTTCAAGTTTGGCCTGAGTTGGGTTACATAGTGAACTCCAGGGCAATCTGGGCTATGTAGGAAAAACTTGCCTCAAAAAATAATAATAATAAAGGATATAATTCATGACTGATGGAAAAAAATTTCCACATTTAAGAAAAGGTACTGACTTATTTTTTTTTAAGAAGCTTGAAAGACTTTATCAGGTTAAGCATACACACAAAAAAGCTACATAAAAGTGTTGTCAGATTACTAAATAAACAGTATAAAGTTAAAAAAATCATCTAAAAGGGAAAACATTCTTGTGACTTATTCTGAACTTATTATCAGAAACATGCAAATCAGAACACTATGTAGTGACATCTTCAAAGTGCTATAAGAAAAAAAGGAGACTGTCAACCTAAGTAAAATTCTGAATCTCTCAAAAATAGATCTTAAAAATGGAAGTTAAATCAAGGTATTTCAAATACACAAATTGAAAGAATCTGTAGTCAGAACAATGCCACAACAAATATTTTTCAGGTTAAAGGAACATGATGCCATGTATCACACCAGTTCCATAGCATGGAATAATTGTTAAGGAAAACTCCAGCAGTGTTTCTACCATACCTTTTCCTAGAGCTGTGAGGCTGTGAGGCATCTCATGTCTTCCTCTGAAGATTTCTGACCTTATTATAAGCAATAGAATATGGAAGCAGCAGCTGTCCCTGACTTGTGAAACTAGACCTGGGTAGAAGACAGAGCATCCCTATCCTTAGTTAAGTCCTGCTTTATAGACTCCAAGACCACCAGCCTAAGCCAGCTCATGTAAAGGAGCCACATGAAGAAGGCCCTGGTGTGTGTTCAGAGAGCAAGCCTATTTTCAGCTTTCTCATTGATTTCTGCCTTTATAATTTTCCCTTTAAGGTTAGCTAATTCACTGTTATTTTAAAAGTAAGGTAGAAACTTAGATACTTTGAGATTTTATTCTTTTCTAGTATGAGCATTTTAATATTAGGAATTACTCATGTGGTAGTTTGAATGAAAATACCCCCCATAAGCTCATAGGGAGTGGCACTATGAGGAGGGCCTTGTTGGAGTAGGTGTGACTTTGTTGGAGGAAATGTGTCACTGGGGTGGAGTTTCAGATCCTCAAGCTGGATGTTGTTTCATTCTCACTTCTTGTTGCCTTTGGATCTGAATCTAGGACTCTCAGCTACTTCTCCAACACCATGTTGGCCTATGTGCCACCCTACTCCCCACTCTAATGATAATGGACTAAACCTTTGAACTATAAACCAGTCCTAATTAAATGTTTTCCTTTATAAGAGTTGCCATGCACAGACCACACCAGCCAGAACTAGTGAGAGACCAGCCTGCTAGCAAAACCACATCCCTCCCTGGATTCTGCCCCCAGTGACCCTTCCCTAAGCCAATGCCATCTTGGCTTGTCCCTGGCCCTGCTGCTTGGCCCTACCTTTAACCCTAAAAGACTTCCTCCAGGCAGACCCAGGCCACACAAGCCAGAACAGGTGAGTGACCTGCCTGCCAGCTGAACTACACCCCACACTGGATTCTGTGCCCCGTGATCCTTCCCCAGGCCAACACAAGCCCAGTTCATTCCTGGCCCTGCTGCTTCTGGGTCCTGCCCTCAATCCCAGTGGACTTCTGCCACTGAGGCACAGACCACAGCAGCTACAACTGCCTTCAGCAGTCAACATCAGCTCTTCCTCAGAACTGCAGCAGACTCCATAGGCCCAAACACAGTCCATACCTTGGGAAGAACAGCCTCAGCAGCTCTACTGGAGGCCAGACTAGTCTTAGATACACTAGAAGAAGTCTCAGTCTTTACTGGAGGTTGACTGGATCCTCACAGGTCTAGGAAAAGGTATGGTAGAAACACTGTTGGAGTTATCCTGAACAATGAATCCATACTATGGAACTTGGGATAGAGACCCAAGAAATCTTTGGCTATACCAGAGCCTAGACTGGATCAAGAGACCCAACACCCCCCAAGCCCCAGTGGAGACACCCTACAAGACCTGAAGACTCACCAGTCACCAGCACCCTTGGCCACTTAGGCCAAAAGACCAGAGAGGAAACAGAAACTAAGGCACCAAAAAAAAATAAATAAATAAATAAATAAATAAATAAAAAAACAAACCCTCCAACAATGACAAACATAGGAATCAACACCTAGACCCATCCCAAATCCAGATGCCTAAATGCCAGTGTAAGAATACCATCAACACAATCAATAACAGAAAGGTCATTATGTTGCCACCAGAATTCATGTTTGCTATTACAGCAAGATCTGAACATTCCAACACAGCCAAAACACAAAATGACCTTAAAAATAACTTTATGAAGATGATAGAGGTCATTAAAGAAGAAATGAAAAAAATCTCTTAAAGAAATAGAGGAAAAGACAACCAAAAAATTGGAAAAATCAATAATCTCTTAAAGAATGTCAAAAACAAAACAAAACAAAACAAAACAAAGCAGTTGTTGGAAACAAAACTGTTCAAGACCTGAAAATAAAGAAAGCACAAACTGAGGGAATCTGGAAATGGAAAACCCAGGTAAGTGAACAGGAACTACAGATGTAAGCATCACTAACAGAATGCAAGAGATGGAAGAGAGAATCTCAGGTGTTGAAGATACAATAA